CTCTCATTCTCTCTTCTCTCTTCAAGGTCTAGGGAAAATGTACTGTTATTCCCTGATTTCACTACCTTTGTATCTGGGGAAGAACCACCAGCATGGTTCACTGGGGTATGGTGACAGTTATTTTTTCTTAATTAGTCAAAATGTGCAATGTGCTAATTACTTGATTCATGAGGAAAAAAATCATTAAATAAAAATCACATTTGACTGGCTTTAGCATATTAGGGCATATATTTTTATTTAAATGCAGAGTGCATCTGAATATTAACTAAGCCACAAAATATGTTCATGGTGAAACTAATTAACACTACAACCATGAATACAATTCCCTTATGGGTTAATTTCTCAATGAAACTCAAAGATACTTTTTGACCTACTATAATGTTCCTTCTGCCAAGGTTAAGAGAAAGATATCACCATAATTGGAGCATATGAGTCTGTATTAACCTGATTTAGATTGGGGAATCAAAGATTTGCACAAGGAAGAAATTCATAATAATTAGGGTGTAAAACATGCAAGCATAGGGGCTTAAGCACAGCATGAATTAATTATTCAGTGTTGTTCAGTCCATTTGGACTTATAAATTACAAAAGGTCATAGAAAGAAGATTGTAACCCCTATTCCCTTTCCACTCTAACAGCCTAAGACTTAAAACCCATCCTCCTTACAGAGCATAAAGAAACATACCTAAAATTCTGAAACATAATATACATACAGAAATGTTAGGTAGGCATGCAAAACATTTGTGGTAGTAAAGAAAAATGATATGTTCTGTGTTATGTAATCCTAGAAAACAAGCCTACTTAAATTTCACATATCACTAAAATATTTTCATTTAAATATTTTTGGTTAATATAATAAATTTTTTATTCTCTACTTAGCTTTATTTCACTAATAAAGTTACCTTCACTCAGTGATACAGATTTCAGTCAGTTTATGATTCTACAAATCTCTATGTATGATACGTGGTAGAAGCAAAACAAAATTCAAAATAAAAAAGAATAATTATCTTGGAGCCTGTAGAAAACTGAGTAATCATTCCCGAAAGTCCACATTTTAATTGTAGAAGCCAAGAACATATTATTACTTTGCATGGTGAAAGGAACGTGTAGATAGTATTCAGGATCTTAAAATGAAGAGATTATCTTGCGTATCTATGTGGGCTCAATGTATTCAAGAGTCCTTAATCACCGGTGTCAAAAATCAAAGAAAACATGATATAAAGATGGAATGAGAGGGAGAAAAGATGATGTGATTCTGGGATAATGATCCCAAGAAGATGAAGTTTCCAGACATGGGGATGGCAAGGGATTGATTGCTCCCTTAGATCCATCAAAGGAAATACAGTACTATCAACAACTTTGATTTTTCACCCAGTAAAATTAATTCCAGATTTCTGATCTCAAGAACTATTTTATAAGAAATCTGTGTTGACTTAATCCACTAAATTTATGGTAATTTTTACAGCAATGATAATAAACTAATATAGAGATAATCAGAAACCAAAATAAAACCTCATAATGATTCTTCCAATGTCCAACTCTGTTAGTTTACAATCAGTAATACTATCCCCGCAAATAAATTATTCTACGTAACTGTTAGAATTACAAGATATGATGTGGCTCTCAAGATTTCATGGCTGTGTTTTTAAGGTAATACTTAAACTTAATGCTTGTTCTATCATTATAATTAATCAATTTAGCAAAAGTATACCAAGGACCCTTGAGCAATGCTTAATCCACAGCAAATAAAACAAAAGAGAACATAATTAATATTTTAGAAGTTTTTACTTTAGTAGAAGAGATAAATGCACATAGGAAATAGCATAGGAATTTAGTTAAGTAAAGAATAGAGAGTTGATAGGAAGACCCAGGTTAGTAAGAAAAGATTTAGCATCATGATCAGACATTGTAAGATGAAGTAATACAAAACAGGAATAGACAAAAGAAGTAATGACAAGGCTGGGTTTGTTGCACTTGCCTAGTAGGAGCACCGAACTTCATTCAATTCCCAACACTGGGGGATAAATAATAGATCAAATCAGATTAAACATATTTGAAGAGTGAGTGAAGAGGAAAGAAGTATTGTAGAAAATATTATTCTTTGAACTACTATATTGAGCTTTTTTATGAAATTTTTTACTCTGGAATTCTACTTATAAACATAGTTGAGAGTCTCCATCTTTTTCATTCATCAATATTTCAGTTATAATCTTCTTTTTTCCCTCAAACTGTAACACTCTTATAAAGTAGAAAAGAGTAACATTGATTTCTCTCTTTTTACTTTGGAGCAAACTCAAAACAAACTTATTTTCAGCAAACATTAGTATCGTATCTTTCTTCTTTAAGCTGAGAAGGATTCTTTTTTTTTTTAGCTGGCTTGGACTGCCTTAAGGATGGGTCTGATGTGGCATGTGGAGCTGGGGATTTTACCACAGTCCCCTACTTCTGACTGGGTATGCCCAAGCAGGCACTTTAAACAGCTGAGCTAACCCCAAGCCTCCCAATTAGTATCTTATTAATGCCCTAGTCTACGACTATGCCAATGAATTGAATTTCACCTGGCTGGAGTTAATCAAGACTTGAACTTTCCTTTCCTTTAGAATTCCTAACTTTCTTAATTTTATTCTTTGACTCACTTAGAGCAATGTGGCAGGAAAAGAGGAGATTGGTGCCTGGATTCTGGCTGGAATGTCTATTAAACACCTGCAAGGAGACAGTAGGAATTCTACTCCTCCAGACAGAAGAATAGAATCTGGAGTTTGGTGATAGAAATAATCACCATTTAATAATTTCTTCACCTTTGACTTTCTATAATTTGGAAATTAAAAACCAAGATAAAGATTTAATTTGTTTTGCATTTATCTTGCTTTGCATTTCTTAAGATTCCTGCATATGTGGTTATGTATGTCACTGATTTGGGATGTTATGTTACAACTTTGTTCCACAGTTCTTGAGTATTTTATTCAACACTGTTTTTCTATTTGAATCTCAGGTTGAAAGTTTTATATTGACTTGTAACTCATTCTTTCCTTAGCCAAGTTAAATATACCGATACATCTATTAACAAAATTATTCATTTCTATCACAATGCTTTTTTTCCATAATTTTATTGATAAACAAATAGCAATGAGACAGTTTCAAATCAAATCAGTAGGACAGTTTCAATAATTAACACACTGCATACATTCTTCTTAGTGGTTAATTGCTGTACAAGATGCGGACCTGACATCCTATTTACAAACAC